CTCTCACACACATACACAAATACACACTCACTCTCTCTCTCTCTCTCACTCGGACACACATATACACACACATACACAAAGAAAATGGGAAATTTTTGTATAGAACCCTAATTCTTCGTATTATTTCATGGGAGACCCTCTTTCCTTTTTTATTTCAAGCGATATAAAAAAACCCCTTAAAGATTTCACTATACCCCATCATCTCTTATCTTCTTTTTTTATTGACTTTTGATTATAAAAATTAACCCCAATAAATCTTTTTATATTATTTCAACCCAAATTTTTTTTTAATGCGTGAAAAAGGACAACGAGGGTTAAAATAGCTTTTGGGATGAAATGGTATAAAAATCTCTTTTAATGTGTGCAAAGAGAAAAAGATAGGTTAAATTTTTTTGGGATGAAATGATATAAAATGATATGTTGGGGCTAATTTTTATGGTGAAAAGCCAATAAAATAGGGATATAAGAAATGAGGAGGTATAGTGAAATCCTTATTTCCTTATGCCGTTTGAAAAAAAATGAAAAAAAAGTCTACCATGAAATAATACAAAGAATTAGGATTCTATTAAAAAAATTCTAAAAAAAAAAACAAAAAAACAAAAAAACAAAAAACAAAATAGGAGGTTTCCCTCTCTCCTCTCTCATGCACACAAAAACATGATGATTTCCCTCTCTCTAAATATGAGGCCCTCTCTCTCTCTCTCTCTCTCTCTCTCTCTCTCTCACTCTCTCCCCTTCGACTTTTAACAGCCGTAGAGTTGGTAGGCGTCCCACACCACCAGCAGATGACCCATCAATGCCTGGTAATTACTCTCTCTCTCTCTCTCTTACCCATCACTTTTTCCTTTAATTTCTCTGGAAATCATAGTGAATCTCTCTCTCTCTCAACCATGTGGAGTTTTCCTTCTTATTTCTTTGAAAAATATAGGGGCCTCTCTCTCTAATGTTGGTGTTTTTAACCCATGTGGAATTTTTCCTTTTGATTTCTTTGGAAATTATAGTGGTCTCTCTCTGTAAATTATAGTGAATCTCTCTCTTGACCATGTGGAGTTTTTCTTTCTATTTCTTTGGAAAATATAGTGGACTCTATATAGATATATATATGGTGGGGTTTTTGTTTAGATTGTTTCTTAACCCATGAGGAATTTTCCTTTTGATTGCTTTGGAAATTATAAAGTTCAGTCTCTCTAATGGTGGTTTTATTTTTTTATTTATTGTTTTAAAAACTATAGTTGAACTCAGAGTGGTGGGCATCCTTGGGCCCATTCTCCTGCCTATTTTCATTGGTATGACATTGAAATGGGGATTGATCACTCCAGCTCATGAGCAAAGCCCTGTAGAGTTCAAGATTTTCTACTGCTCCTATGTTTTGTGCAACACACAACTCTTCCTAGCAATGGCATTGAGGCTCTCTTTCTACATATATGTGCCCAATCTAGACACCAACAACCCACTCTTTAGAGCAATGGGTAGCTCAATACTGGTCAATTTTGTGGTTGTGGCCACCATGATTGGTGTTTTCTCTCACTATAAAAGTATTTTGTAATTTCCTCTCTCTTACTCTGCTTTTGATTTGCTTGAAGACATGAGAACTTGCCCATTTTTTGCTATGTGAAAAGTTGAGAATTAATAGTCATTTTTAAAGTGACAAAGTATAGTTATCTGCTTAGTATTTCGTCTTTAAGATTGATTCGTGTTGGATGCCGACACGTGTGGGAGTAGAGTGATTGCTGTTGTTTTTATTTTTATAAAAATAGTTTTTTTTTTGTATATAAAAATGTTTAAATGGTAATTTGGTCAACTGTCATTTGCTATTTAGGGATCTTTGATTGTATTAATTTGAATTTACAATATTTTGTTGTGTGGTGCGATAGTGGTGGTGATGGTGGCGGTGGCAATGCAATGATGGTGGTAGTAGTGGTGACTACGAGGTAGTGGAGATGGGGACGGAGTAGTGGTTGAGGTAGTGGTTGTGGCCAGTGTTGGTGGTGGTGGCGGTGATGGCTTGGCAGCGGCGGGGGAGATGGTGGTGGCTAGTCAGTGAAAGTCGACGTGGCGGTGGGGCGAGCGAGGGAGTACTAGTGGCTAGGTGGTGGTGGTACTAGTCGCAAGTACTAGCGGTGGTGGCAACGGTGATGGTAGCCGTGGTGAAGGAAGAGAGAAAATGAGATAGCCAATTTGATTTTTTATAAAACAATTTCGAGTAAATTTGCAAAAAAATAAAATAAAATAATTTAAAATCAATTAGAATCAATTCAAATTTGGAAATCAAATACCCCTTGATATTAAATTGTAGTTGCAGGTGACGAATTTCCAAACCAACCTGAATCACGACTTTGGCCTAGAAATTCAAAGGTGTAAAAGTGTAATGGGGAAAATTGAAAGGGTGGGATTTGTGCAAGATGTCAACCTTATACTGTACAAAATAAAGCCCGCCTCTAAAAATTGCTAGAATATGTAATTTTGGTGCATAAACTTTTACAATGGATTGAAAATCCATAATTAACCTAAATTTAAATGGAACTAATCATATTTTACCGAGTGGAGTGAATAGACGAATCGTAATACTATTTTTGGCACTAGGTAAACTTTTTAGGAAAAATATCGTACAGAACTCTAATTCTCCATTTTATTTCACCGTAGATTCTATTTCTATTTTTCTTTCAAGCAGCATAAATAAACCCTCAAATATTTCACCTAACCACCTCATCCCTTATTTCCCTATTTATTCACTTTTGGCAATAAAAACGGATCCCAACAAATTATTTTATTCTATTTCAATCCAAAATCCTTTTTAATCCTCATTTCCCCAGTTTTCATTTACACTACGATATTCTCTCTCTCTATACATCAAGACACCAAGAAACCTTGATTTTTATACAAAGAACATACAATAAATGCAGCGAAAAAGAGGAAAGATCAAAATTAATAGAGATCAAAGAGAGAGGAAGTGAAAAATAAGATCACAGATAACAATGAGAGAGACACAGTGAAAAAGAGAACAATGACCCAAGGGGTAGAGAGAGACGAAAAACAAAAGATTGATACGACAACAGTACCAAAAAATGGGAGGAATAGAGGTTTCGAAGAGAGAGAGAGACAAAGAGAGAGAGTATCAAACGGTGAGAGTAATAGATGTTTGAAGGCAGGGGGAGAGAGAGAGAGGAGAGAGAAAGATAGAAACTTACCATGAGAGGTGAGCAGACTTTGCCGAATGGAGAAATAGAGCCCTTGCCATAGTAGAGAGAGATTATCATAGTAAAAATAAAAACATAGAAAATGAGGGTTAAAAATGATATTGGATTGAGATTAGTTTGTTGGGGTCTTTTCTTATGACCAAAAGTGAATAAACGGGAAATAAGGGACGAGGGGGTTAGGTGAAATATTTGGGGATTTATTTATACCGCTTGAAAAAAAAATGAAATGAGGGTCTACAGTGAAATAAAATGGAGATTAGAGCTCTGTACGATATTTTCCCAACTTTCTATGTGGTGTCACCCACTTACCCACATATAAAAGACATCTGATTGATGTTTCCCAACCATTGGATATAATTATCGAAATGGATAGCTTTTGCTTGTAGCTGTTGTGACCTAGACCGGTTGATTGAGAGCATCTCTAAGTATTTTAATAAGATCAAGCTCAAATCTTAGGTATCCATACTTTCACCATTATATACATGTAAAAATATATAAACGATCAATAATGACTACGACCTTCTTGTATCAAAAGTAAATGATCTCATGATAAATATTTTCATACATTTGTAGAGTAATGATTTGTACACACCCTAAGAATCTTGTATTGATAATACTTTTAAAAGGGAAAAGTTTATATAGAGTCGAGGCTCTAAACAATCAAATTTGAGCTTACCTCAAAATTTCATTAGAAGAGGTTGTTTTGATGCCCAAATATCTTCAAATTGATCATCTCGACATCAAGATACATGGACATGAAAAAAAAAATGGATCGCAAGTTTTGAAAATAGTTTATTTTGTGACGCATTTTTAAACTGTCAATTTTCAAGTTTTTCTTAGATATATCAATCTAC